AATAAATGTGTATTTAATATTATATAAACTATAATAGGATTAAAAATTGATGGCATCTATGGTCTCAATTTTTAAAGACCTACCTAACAAGTACAGAAAAGACATTTGAAATAATTGAAAATTGAAAATTGTTCACAGGGGTTTGATCTGAGGTGATTACCAAATTTTTATTCTATTTTACCACATTTGCCAGTTTGTCATAGAAGTATTACTTTTATAATCAGAAAAAAAGATTATTTCAATAACTATCGCTGAAAGAAAAAACTCTCCTTAACACCCTTGCATGGCAGGAAAGACCTTAATAAAGTGTAATATGGAAATGCATTTCTAACCTTCTAGGTAAGGATCGACAGATAGTGTGTCTCTCCCACAGCTTTTACTATACTAGAGGTCACCACTTCTGTATTTTAAGTTCCTTAAGATGAGAAACATGTCTTATTCATCTTAGTGTCATCCATAGAATTTAGTACCATACATTACGCATATAAAAAGGTTAATCATAATATGGATTTAACAGGATATTCACACAGTCTCAAAAATATCATACTTATTATATCAAATTACTTAGTAAGAACAGAGGGGATAGTTGTATTTTTTTCCGTGGGGAAATCTAGTGTACACTATCATAAAGTGATCAAATTTAGCATCATCAATAACAGGACAAACTGGCACTAAGTGCCTCCTAATGGATACAGTGGGAAGTACGACATCACTTGTGGAATATTCTGGCCAAAAATGTTTAACCTGAATGCAGCCATGAAGAAGCAATCAGACAAATTCAGACTTGGACAGTTTTTAAATTATCTGACCTGAACTCTGAAATTTCTAGGTCATAAATAAAAAACAAAAACAGGAAAAGGCAGGGAAAATATTCCTAATTAAAAGTGACATAACCAAATGCAATAGATTTGGGATCAATAAATTCTATAAATAAATAAATACTATTTTTTGGGGAAAAATAATGTGAATACATGCACAGTAAAATGTGTTCAGAAATTTACTGAAAGAGATTCTTTGTTTTCATTTGTAATCTGTAGAGCACTGTAAATGATAGTTACATGCTTCAAAAATAAGATGGATTTATATATGGACAGATAGATGAATGATGCTTAGCTATGTGATAAAACAAATATGGCAGAATGTTAATTATAGAATCTAGGTGGTGGGTGTATGGATATTGCTGTATAATTCTTTCAGCTTTTGTATATGTTTACAAAATTTTATAAAATCTTGGGGGAAGAGGTAATTATTACTGTGATTGTCATTGTTCTGTTTAAATAATGAAATTACATGGTAGGCTGATGTGGCTCTCCACTGAAACTACTCCCATTAAATTATAAGAATGAATAACGTAATGTGAAACTAAAATATGTTTTTAGGGAAGTTTTATGCATCACATTTCAAGGCCTGGAATTTGTATGATTGCACTAACTTAGTCATGTTAATGACACACATTTTAATTTAATTTTAAATAATAGCTGAATCAGGTACAGGAAAGACCAATAATGGATAGACTAATAATAAACTCATAATTGCTGGGTCGAGAACACATCTGAGAAGGACAGAGATTGGGTATTCACTTTTGTTTATTAGGTATGGGGTGGGGATGGTAAAGTCCGCAGGGAAAACTGGAAATGAGGGAGGTCACCAATGCAGAGATGGATCAGTGAACTGCTTATGGCATCAGAGCAAGGGCACCAAGGTCAGGATCAGAGAAGGCAGAAGGTCACTGGCCACAGTGAGGTTGGAGCACCTGGATGAAGGTCAGTCTCTGGAGAGACACACCTAATAGAAGACTGGGCAGAAGACTGGGCAGAAGACCCAAAGTCTGAGTAGGCAGGGAGAATGCATCAGGCATGGGTGTATTGCCGAATCTAGCTCTGTGAATTCTGTGGCCAGTTTTCATGTTCCTCTGTATGTGTAGCATACTTGACACTTTCATTGAAAACCATTTCAAACATTTCTTGAAATGTGTACCAAGTAAAGAACTAGCTGGTGGAATTATGAATATAAAAAATGTATGTTCCTGGACGTGGTTCCATAGTGTAGCGGTTAGCATGTCTGCTTTACACAGAAGATCCTGGGTTTGCGCCCCAGTGGAGCCATGGTCTATGGTCTACGGCCATGCCACCCTGAATAAGCCCGAAGTCTGATCTCTGAAGTTAAGCAGGTTCGGGCCTTGTTAGTATTTGGATGGGAGACCACCTGGGAAGACCAGGTGCTGTAGGCAATAATAATAATAATAATAATAATAAATAATTTTTTTTAAATGTATGTTCCTGACCATAGACATGTCACAGTCTCACAGTGGTGGGGGAAGGGGGTGTATAAGCAAAAGTATAAGTGTGATGGGGTGAGTATTAGGTATTTTATGGAAGTCAGTACTAGGAATAGTGGAAGAGCAAAGGGGAGGGGGTGATCAATGGATCCTACTTGAGGGAGCAGAGTCAAGAGAAACTGGAAAGAAAAGATGTTGTCTTTGTTGAGTCTTGAAAGATGAGTAGGTATTTGTCAGGCAGACACACCAGGGACAGGCATTTCAGGAAGATGGAGTCACGTTAGTAAAGGCCCAGAGCTAGAAACAACACTACGTGTTCAGAAACTGCAAGTGGTTTAATGTGGCCAGACCTAGGGAGAGATGGGCTGGCTGCACAGTGAGAGGTGAAGGTGGAGGACCACAGTGATCACACAGGGTCTTAACCGATGAGCTATGGAATCTGGACTTCATATAGATAAGAGGGAATAACTGTAGTCCACAGATACTTTTAGTCTCTCTGCCCTGTGTTCAATCCCATTGTTTTAGAATATCTTCCTCACATTGCGATACCTGAACCCATGTAAATTCTCCTCACCCCTGTCCTTCCTTGGGCCATAACTAATTAGACCACAGGCGTCCACCTGACTCAAGCTGGTTCCACATATCTCTCCCAGGAATTTGAAATTAGGAATCAAAGACTCTACTTAGTCTGGGCTACTCCCTTCTAAACTCGGGATTGGTGGTCGTGATTATATGGGCAGTATCCATGGAATTTGGCCTGCAGAGAGAGAGAGGAGAATGGTGTAGACATGTGTTGGATACAGACAGTTCTGGGGGTCTTGCTTTACTTCCTCTTTGGGGCCCCCTGACATATTGCTATATCCATATAAACTGCCTTTTCTTAAGGTCTCCAGTAACTTTGGTTTTTCCAAAGAAAAGGGGATCCTGGCATCTGTGCCATTTGGTTTGCTTGGTTTCAGTAGTGCAGGTGGGATGCTACGTCAGGGTTTTAAGAGAGTGTGGCCAGTCATTTCTCATCAGACAGTTCTAATGGCTTTAGGGAGCCTACTTTCCTGAGATGCCAGGGCTGAGGATGTGGTTTACAAATCTTACTAACGTAACTGTTAGAGCCATGTTAAGAAAATACTGTCTTTGCTTTCTCTGGCTGCTGTGTAGTATGAACGTTAGTTTTTAAAAATATTCTTAGTTTTGATTGAGGTGAGCTTGGTAGCAAGCCTGTGGCTGTTATTGGATGTAGTCTTTTATTTTAAAGATTCCCACATATACCGTGTTTGTTCTCGTAGGTTGCTCTTCTTGACTGTGCACAGAACGCCACAGAGCCTGTTCAATCGAGTTTGTATGACGAAAGAGACGTGGAAGTGGCCCGCTGTGGGGCGCAGGCGCTGTGGAGCTGCAGTAAGAGCTATACGAATAAAGAAGCCATCCGCAAGGCGGGGGGTATTCCTTTGCTGGCTCGGTTATTGAAGACGTCTCATGAAAACATGCTGATTCCGGTGGTGGGGACATTGCAAGAATGCGCATCAGAGGTACCCAGGCCAGCTCCGCTCTCTTTGCCTTTCTCAGCCGAAAAACAATTTGTAAGGTTATCATGACTGCTAAGGATTTTCCCCCACAAGAAGTCAGTATCCTATTAGAAAGAGATCAAAATACTAATAGAACATTAATTAAATTGTTATCTATGTGATATTTTTTTGAACATGTTGACTAAGTTCTCTTATTGTTACACCCTTATGTGAACCTTGAGCTTTAATGTATTTACTTAGAAAGTTTATTTAGTGTACTTATTAATAAATGTAAATACTTATATGTGTGCATTATGCACATATCAATATTTAAATTCATATTCCTAGGAAAACTACCGAGCTGCAATCAAAGCAGAAAGGATAATTGAAAATCTAGTAAAGAACCTAAATAGTGAGAATGAGCAACTGCAGGAGCATTGTGCCATGGCCATCTACCAGGTACAGGGGACCCTCCACCCAGTCCTGGTGGTCTTCCTGTAGGTTGAGGTGGTGCTTCTAAACACGAGGCCTCATTCTCTGGGGATGGGACTCAGGAATCTGCATTTTCTCCAAGATCCTCCAGGGATTTTCATGCACACATAGGTCTGAGAACCATTGTCTAGTGCTAGTGACAGATGCCTGTAAATTTCAGAGAGCAACCTGCTTCAACCTGTCTGATTATTTGCAATTCTATAAGACACATGTATCTTTGTCTGCTAAAATGATTTAGTCAGTATAAAATGACTAAATATGTGTACGGTGCTTCTATATTGCTTTTCATATATCCCATTCAAACACAGTGGTCTTGGAAAATCTATCTCCTACCAAGACAAGGTGGATGAATGAGTACAAATGTGTGTGTGTGTTCCTGTTTTATCTGTTTTTTAATTTATTTACTTTAATCTTTGTTAACTTTATATGGGTTATAAATTTCATAGTACAGGATATCTTCAAATAACATTGTTTCATTCAACATTATTTCATTATAATGTCGATGAGATGCTATAGTAACTTAACTCTTAGCCTATGGTAAAATTGATTTTGTTACACATCGTTTCACTTCAAGTCACAGAACCTGTCGATGATGTTAGGTGAGGACTTATTGTATGCCAGAAAACAGATTAAAATGATAAAGGGGAAGAAAAGATGGCCTTGATAAATTAGTATATGGCTGGTTACTGGCCAGGCCAGCTTCTGTCTAATCAGAATAGATTTCTTAGAGGAATGCGTTTTAAAATATGCAAAGTGAGAGTGCATCAAAAAGATAGAGAAGAGGTACATGTTAGTAGAAGGTTGTATTAGTTTGCCGCGGCTGCCATAACAAAATATCATGCACTGGTGGCTTAAATGCCTGGTGGATATTTATTTCCCTATAGTTTTGGAGGCTAGAAGTCCTAGATCAAGGTGTCGACAGAACTGATTCCTTCTGAGGACTCTTTCCTTGGCTTGTAAATGGCCATCTTCGTGTCATTCTCCCTCCATCTTTACATGATCTTTCCTCTGTGTCCTAGTAGCCTCTTCTTATAAGGACATCAGCCAGATTGGATTTCAGAGCCCAGCTCAATGACCTCGTTTAACCTTAATTACCTCTTTCAAGACTGTGTTTTCAAATATGGTCACATACTGAAGTACAGGCGTTAGAGCTGCAACTTAAAAAGAGTTTTGAGGGCACAATTCAGCTCGTAACAAAGATATGTCTTGACTTGTATATGTGCCCCATATGAGAAACCATTACAGGTTGGATAGAAATAGTGATTAATTTTTAAAAGTTGCAGCTGAACCAGAACAGAAAGTCGCAAATGGAAGATAAACATGGCAGGTGCCTCGTGGTGTATTATGATGAGGATTTCCTCTAGTGGTTCTCATGGATGTTGTATGACATGCATCTGTATCATGTGGCCTCAGAGCCCAGCTGTATGCTTAGGATAATAGCAAACCTGTAGTAAATCATCATCTTGTTCTATAACCTAGGAAGGTTGATCAGTTGGGATCACCTATGTGGTGCATATTTATTTCGAAAGATGATACAAACATATGGATAAACATGTTTGAATAAAATGTCAGTTGCTATTGTTATAACCCACTGGACATAGAAACTCTGTTGGGGGAAATTCCTTATCTCTTAGATTTGGGGGGTCATTAAAGATCTGACTGAATCCCTGTCACTAATCTATCTACTATGTTTTCCCAAGATTCTGGTTGCATCACTGCAGAAATCCTCCATTGATGCATGTGACATTCTAGATTTACCAACCTCTGTCTGTCTTGGTGGAAACCCGGGTACCTCAGAGCTGGCTTGAGAAAATTGCTAAATGTGCAGAAACTGCTAGACATGGCCAAAACCTAGCAGAGAGACTGTCAGATAGCTGCCAGTGTAGAGAAGAGTTATATTTTACTTGGAGGTGCCTTCAGAAAACGGTACTCTCTGAAAAGAAGTTTTATAGTTACTAGAATGACAGCCTCTTTAATAATCACGGAGATCTTGGTATGCCTTGATCACTGACAGCTTCTGATTTGATTTTTTGTGTAGTGTGCTGAAGATGAGGAAACTCGTGACCTGGTTAGGCTGCACGGAGGACTTAAACCCCTGGCCAGTCTGCTCAATAACACCGACAATAAAAAACGTTTGGCTGCTGTCACAGGGGCAATATGGAAATGTTCCATCAGCAAAGAGAATGTGACCAAGTAAGAGAAGGCATTCCACATTCTGTAATGAAAATATGGCCACCAAAACACATTCTTGTAATTTAATGCTACTGTAAGAAAGAGTCCATTTTAATGTTACTGCTATAGTTTTCATAGATGTACGTTTTGGACTAAATTGGCGGAATTAAATTCTTAGAGATGAAAGGCCACTATTTCCCACCCCACCTCCTGGCAGTGGTTTTCTATGCCTCATTAGGGCTCTGGGGCTTGCTGATAATCTGTCCAAATGAGCTGTTTTGCATATGGGCAGCCATTTAAATGTGAAGCATTTCTGATACTTCCTGCAGACACCTGTCAAGGTGAGAAGATGAATTTTCCACTGAATCTTAAGAGATCCACAAGTGGTTCCATTTTTCTCTCTTTTCTAAAGATAAACAGGATGAGTGAGCTAAATGCCAACTAACCAGTTAATCTTAAAGAGTAGTCATCTTCAAATGTGATTTCATTTACTTTCAAAGTCTTTGTAAACTTTATGACCATCTGATTTAATTTAATGCTCAAATTTATCTCCATTTATTTTTAGAGTTCTCACACAGTGATGGATGTTCTGAGGCAAATCTTCTTTGTCTCGGTGTGATGATTTTCTTTAATAAGAAATTCACATGTCCAGTTTAACACATAATAGGTTTATTTGGCTTTGTTTGTGTAAAATGGTCTCTGTAACGTGGGGAAATAGCCCTTAGCATAGTGGAATAGTTGCCGCTCAAATTTGGAAGAAATTGTAGTTGCCTTAGAGGTTGTGCAGTGTAGTGGTTAAGGGCACACAGATGGCTACGTGTGGACGCCAGCTTCACTATGTACCAAGCTCCAGATTAACTTTTTGAGAATGGGGATTATAATAGGATACAAATCATAGGGTTCTTGTAAGGATGGATGGATCGAGCATATAGTTGGCAGTAGTAATTTTTAGCGATTAATGTTATCATCAGCTAACTTTATATGAAAAATAATATTGTTCTCCTCTTTTCCTACCTCCGATCTCTTTTTCTTGTGATAAACTTAGGTTTCGGGAATACAAAGCCATCGAAACTTTGGTGGGACTTTTAACTGACCAGCCCGAAGAAGTCCTTGTGAACGTGGTTGGCGCGTTGGGAGAGTGTTGCCAAGAATATGAAAACCGAGTCCTGGTCCGGAAGTGTGGTGGCATTCAGCCACTCGTAAACCTCCTCGTTGGAATAAACCAAGCTCTACTCGTCAATGTCACAAAAGCAGTTGGTGCTTGTGCAGTAGAATCTGAAAGTATGATGTAAGTGGCCCTACGGACTGACCATTTTATTTGAGAGTGTTATGGGAAGCACTTGAATAATCATAGAATAATATCATCACTTATAAATGGTGTGCACAAATGATGAAAAAGAAAAATGCGTTTACAGATAAATAGCCACAAGGTTACCAAATCGTGACTTACAGAGCCATGTTGTTCCCTTGAATGAGCTGGAGGGCTGATGCTGGGCATATTGGGAAGACTAAAAATACCCAGTAGTCAATTTCTCTTGCAGAAACCTTAATATAGTCAACAAAAATTTTCTCTATATCTCAGGGAAGAATTACCTATCTCTATCTAACTGAGATCCTAAGTTGTTTTAGATAGAATATTCTTCGTATCCTCCTTGTTTCTCGATTCAATTTAGCAAACATATTTTGAGTACCTAACAAGAGCTGCGAACTGATGAGGGGGAAAAAACAAAGGATATTAAGCTATGATCATGGTCCTTAAGCAAATTATTGTCTAATTAGGAAGAAAAGGCTTAAATGTTGTATAAGTTAAGAGTAATAGCAGGATTATATAGAAATACACACACACAAACATGCAAACATACACACACATATGGATATATCCAGAAAAGGAGGAACCTATATGGGTAAAAGTTGTTGTATTAGAGTTCTCCAGGGAATTAAAGATATAGATGGATGGATGGATGGATGATAGATCAATTGATCTATCTATCTATCTATCTATATTATTATCTCTCTAGAGAAAGAGAGATTTATTTTAAGGAATTAGCTCATGTGATTGTGGAGGCTTGACAAGTTCAAATTCTGCTGGAATAGGCTAGCAGGCTGGAGACTCAGGAAAGAAATTGCAGTTTGAGTTCAGAGGCAGTCTTCTGGCAGGACTCCTTCTTGCTCAGGGAGGTCGGTCTTTGTTCTATTAAGACCTTCAACTGATTAGATGTAGCCCACCAACATGGAGGATAATCTGTTTTATTCAAAGTCTAGCAATTTATATGTTAATCTCACCCAAAAAACACCATCATAGAAATATTCAGAATAATATTTGGCTAAATAGCTGAGCATCCTTTAGCCCACACAAACTGATACACAAAAATGAGCCCTCACAAATCACCCCTTGTCAACTTGATATTCATATATACATTTATTTATTTAGTTTCCATATGAAAACAATAATAAGGTCATAATTCTTACCAACACTACACAACTATCTTACATACAGCTAAAATGCACTAATCAGTTCCCTAGAAGAGGAAGCAAAGTCCTTGGGTGATGTTTACTCTTATTGATATCCTATGACTTAAATACTATGATGTGACATTAACAATACTTCAAACCTGTGATATAAAGTCAGTGCATCTCATGTTACATGATAAGAGGATAAGAGGGGAGAAAAACAAAGGTATATATAAACATACACGTGCATTTATAACATAATAGGAAGGAATCCTCTGACAGTTACAGTCCTCATTTCTGTAATTGGTCACGTGCTGTAGCTGGTATTTGTAACTGCCTTCTTTCACTAACCACTCCGTATTACCTTTGTCCTCAGCTGGCACTTCAGTTGGTTGTGGTTCTTCACCTGGCGGGGTGACTTCACTCTCGATGGGTCTGGGCCATTAGTAGTCCTGCCTAGATTAGGTTTGTTGTAGTTTCTTTTGACTTTAATCACAAGGCACGGTCATACTAAGAGACACCCTAAAGGACCTCCTGTATTCCAGATGGGCCCCTCCTGACCTCTGTTGCAGCATCTGATTTCCCCTTGGTGGTCGGGCTCAATCACCCAGCCAGCACAGCAACTCCCCTCTTTGCCTGGCGATTTAGAAGCGTGGGGAGGTCAAAAGTGGCCAAGTGGCCATCTTAACTTCTATTTCGGCGATGTCATTATTGTGTCTCCTAGTGGAAACATTCCTCCCTTTGGAACTAAAACCTCCAGGCCAGCAGAGCATAAGGTTGTGGAGACAGAAGTAAAATCTTTGCTAGTAGCTCAGTAGGAGTAATAGTGAGTATCGCTCCCATTTCCACACCTTGAATCCTGGACCCATGAATCCTGACTATGGGAGAAATGGCAACATATTGTTTACAGACACATAGCTCTGTTGACCCATCTATAGAATCCCAGAAGTCTAGCCGTGGACTTTGGTTCATCCACTTCCTCTAACCCCTTGGGTCCAGGATGGCAGTGTTTCTGCCGAGACGGCTGATTGGATCCATGTGTCACACCTTTAATCTCTGTCATATGATTGTCTAGCCACACTTTTGATATTTTCCCAGAACACACATTTTCATTTTTTTCAGTACAAATTAGCTGAACATTTTCTAAATCTTCAAGTTTGGTTCCTTTTTGCTTAACAGATCTCTCTCTTGCATTATACTATAATTAGTATGGAGAAACCACGCTGCGCCTTTAACACTTTGTTTAAAAATCTCTCTGCTAAATATCCACGTTTGCCACTCACAAGTTCTACCTCCCGCAAAACACTACAACACAATTCAGCCAAGTTCTTTGCCATTTTATACCAATGATCACTTTCTTCCCGTTCCAATAATATGTTCCTCATTTCCATCTGAGATCTCATCAGAATCACCTTTAGCATTTCCTATTTCTACCAGCAGTTTCTTCAAGGGCAATCTAAACTTTTTCTAACACTCACCTCTAACTCTTCCAGCTTCCACCCCTTACTCATCACATTTTCAAAGCTCCATCCACATTTTTAGATTATAGCAGCACTTCACTTCCCAGCACCAAAATCTATTAGCTTTCTAAGGCTGCCATAACAAAATACCAGAGACTACAACAGAAGTTTATTTCCTCACAGTTCTGGAGGCTGTAAGTCCAAGATCAAAGTGCTGGCAGGGTTGGTTTCTTCTAAGGCCTCTTTCCTCCGTTTGTATATGGCCACCCTCTTGCTGCCTCACGTGGTAGTTCCTTTGTGTGTGCCCCTGGTGTCTCCCTATGTGTCCTAATCTCTTTTAATAAGGACAGCAGTCAGATTGGATTAGGACCTACACTAAGAATCCCATTCAAACTTAATCACTTCTTTAAAAACCCTGTCTTGAAATATAGTTACATTCTAGGTACTAGAGATTAAGACTTCAACACATGAACATATGGGGGCTGTAATTCGGTCCATAACAATTGTCATAATGAGTTATCTAGAGGAAGTGGATGAAGTGTATTGTTAATGAATAAAACCTATGTGAATGGGTGGAAGAATAGGGAAGCATGACTGAGGGATATTTGTGTAGAGGCCTGAGCAATGAGAGAGTGCAAGAGTGGAAAGTCCAATCAGAGGAAGATGAATAGGAGGTAGTATCGACAAATAAGATGGGGTCAGACAAAGGAGAGACCTAGATGGCTAATTCTTTCTTCCCGAATTCTCAGTATCGCCCTTTTCTGAGACTGTGCAGGCATTTATCCTATCAGGCATTATGAAGCAAGAGATCAGTCCCTGAACCTACCTTACTAATACTGGGTAGAGACAAAAATATGGTAGGGACATTTCCATTCAGTCCTGATACTCTGGTCCTGCCCCCTCTTGGGTCCTATGACTCCTCTGATTTCCATTAAGAAATGCAATAAAGGACTGAGTGATTCAGACAATGCTAATCAGTAGAACTTTTCAGGCTATTAAGGAAATAATTTAAGCTTATAATTTGCATTTAATACAGAGTAATATAGAGCGTACATATTTTAATAGGTTACATATTTTTATTTTGGGTTGTTTATTTGGTGTATATATACCATACATACATACATACATACATTCGTGTATGTATCTCCTATTTCATTTTATTCTGATTCACTCATTTATTCATTCAGCTCCTTTGGGGGCTGCTATGTGCAGATATATCCTGCACAACTCTAGGGAGTAACATTCATATGGACTGCTATGTACGGAGCACCATACGTTATGTGGTGATACAGAGAACCCTGGGGAGGTGCAGTTTGCTGTCTGTTTCATCATTTGGTCACTACTGAAGGCTTATACCCTGTGCCAGTAGTCTCTGGTTGTACTTTCTCCCTTCAGCCCACTTTCCTGGTATCTGAGAACAAGGATTACATGTATTCAGTTGTGTAGGCCCTCTTCATAAAAAGCCCCAAACTCTAAGACAGTCATAGGACTTTTTAACATGATTCTCTTTTGGATTCTCGCGGCTTCGTCTAACCACATGCTGGTACACAAGTACTTAAAGCCTTCATAACTGCTTTAGAATTTGGTTGTCAGAGTCTTGGTCTCAGGTGTTTCAGACACTAAAGAACACTACTTACACGTAACATGCTAACTTTAAGGGAAGAATGTTGGCTGGCATTATAAAACAATTTTCTAATACATTTATTTCTTTGAAAAACACATGGTGTTCATTAAAACTTGATAAACGCTTTTCAGAAATGACTTTATGTACTTCTTTTGATATTCGGCTCTTCTTGTTTTCTGTCTGCTCAGATCTACCAACTACCACCAATTACATCTGAATTTTTTTGAATGTATCTCCTCTCTGCTCTCAAGTTGAGGTTCTGTCACCTTTAACTGGACTTCTGAAGTTGGTTCTCTTGATCTCACTTCAGATCTCTCCCCCTTTTACACCTTCCTGCACAGCTCCTTTCCTTAGCCTGGTATTCAAAACATTTGCCTTCTGGCCCCAGTTTACCTTTCAAGTTTCATGTTTCCCCCCCCGCAACTGTTAATTATCTAGTTATATTGTTATTTGTGTTTGAGCAAATATTTTTCAAGCATCTTTTGTTCCGGCCGCTGGAGATGGCACAGTGTAACAAAGAAAATTCCTGCTCTCTTGGAACTCACATTCTATTGTATGTGGGGCACAGACTGTAAACTCTTGAGCATCTAACATGATTTCAGATAGTATTAAATGTGACAAAGAAAACAGTGTGATTGAAAGACAGCAACTAAGCGGGGAGCGCTTACTTTAGCTGGATTCGAAAGACAAAGGAGAAGAGGGAAGAGAGGAAAGTGGTTTCTGGGAGGATAATATTTGAACCAAGACCTGAGA